CTCTCCTCTCGCTCTTTCTCATCTTGACGCCATTCACGGTCCTCCTGTCTCCATTCTCGCTGTATTTCTTGAAGATATGCCTTTAATTCTTCGCCAGCATACCCGAGAGTTTTCCCCAGCTCCGCCAACTCTATAAGTGAGGGTCTTGTTGCCATTTTACCTGCAGAATATACTTCAAAAGAACACACGCAAACACCAATCAAATAAACACCAGTGTAAAGTTATTATATTATTTTCCTTAAAGTTAATTTTTGCCTAATATTATTTACCTTTAAATTCCTACCAATTTCCTATTAATGACTACTTTTAATGACCTAACTTCTGAAAAATCCCGCGTAAGAGACCCCAATTGTAATCAACTTGTTTTTGGCGGAATCTATCGTCGCCTGGAGATCCCCTATATCCTTCCAACTAACTTACAGGGCTCGAATTAAATAAGTCTAGGGGAATTATAACGGTCCCTGAGTTCTGGAAAATAAAGGAAGGAAAATACAGAAAGTTAAATGAATAGGGTAAATCCCCGGAAATTTCCTAAAAAGAAATTCAGAAAACAACCAAAGTCAAAACTTTGTAAATTTAACTCAAATAAATTACAATTAACAGTCTTTAGTCTACCTAAGAAGTAAATTTGATACGATGAAATCGATAAATGGAGTTTCTAAACAACCACTGTATTGATAAAATACTGATAAGGAATTCAACGATTTTCAAATTAACAAACAAAAGAAAAATTTCTGAATCATCATTACACCCAACAACAACAAAATGTTCACTGAATAGAATTTTCCACTCAGCTTTTGGCAGGTCTGGATGAGCCGAAATGTAGCTTCCTTTGGAGGAAAGTCACGAAGTAACAGGAATGTTGTGTCCCGATCCACTGGTAAAGCGGCAATCAGGAATACGGTTCACGTTCCTCAAGCAACTAGGCAAAACAGGCCAACCGAAATACGGAATTACGGTCCTCTGGTAACCCGGCAGGCAAGAATATGGTAACACGGGAACCTGCGGAATACATCATTCAGCCCTGTGTTGAGCATTATGTCGACACATCTGGAGCAGGTGGAGGTGTTGCGGTGTCTGTGGTGTTTGTCAGAGTTAAAGGAAAGAAAGATCAAGGTTCATATGTTGTCTTTCTCTACAAGTAAATCAAAATTATACATCTCCACCCTATTATACTATGTTGGTTTATACCTATCTAATTTATGGCACGATCATATAAAACTTGACATAATTAAGCGGACACACATTCGCCTGCGGATTGGACAGTTATTAGTTCGAGTCCCAAACCCCAGGTCGACTTCGCCTTAACGGACACCAGGTATAGTAATGGGAAGTAAAGGCGGCAGGTGTGATGTTGACCACATCAACATCTAGGTACCACTTGGTCTATAAAACATAGGTCAACCCGATATGCCCACAAAGTTGACGATTGTTACTCAAATTATATGTTGCATAATATAATAAACATAAGCAATGTAATGTATACCCTACTGATGATACCCCATGGCACAGGATAATGGTTTATATTGTAAGATCTTTACACAAGTAGACCGAATGAATATTTTCTGGAAAGATGACAGAGGGAAGGAAGGTTCGCTATTGCATAGTCCTAACGGTGAATAGTAACTTTAAGAACGTCAGAATAGGTAAGGACTAGTGAATTGTTCAACGGACAAGTATCAAGGTTGATGAAGTCCCGGAATATTTATACAATGGTAGAATATAGAATAGTAGGATCTCAATAACATATTTTAGGATACAGCTAAGGCTTATAGGGGATCTCAGCTACTCCCTACCATTATAAATCTCACCTGAAATTATATATGGTATTATTATTGTGGGTGTTAGGCCGATGGTATGGATGGCAATCGTTCTGTGTTGTGACGAGATTAGATCTCCTAGTAACACCACAAAACGTCATAAATTATGTGCGCCTTCGTACCTTTTTATTCTTTTAGCATCTATGTTTAAATATATTTATTTTACGTGCGCAATTCTTTTAACTAAACTTGCTATTAACTCTTGCCGGACTGAAATGTTTCTCCCGTTTTGTCACACTTATGATCAGATCTATTTATTAAATTGGTTTCATTTCTTTCAGAGTAGTGTCATTCTAATTGTTGTATACACGTGTCGCGAACTGATCGGCACTCATATAAAGATGTCGAAAGACGCAAGGACACAATAGATAACGTAGGCGTAGAAGAATATAGTTACCGGGCCGGGATCGAACCTCACACTTGTTTCTGCAGCGAGGTGCTGTCTTCATTTGGAGATGGCGGGTTCACTTTCCGGCCTGGTGACTAGTTCTCGATTTTATATGTTATCTATTGTGCCCTTTTGTCGTTTTGTTTATTTCTATGAATGCCGATCAGTAAATGTCTATTATATGGTAATGTTTCTACGGCCTTAAGGCGAGCCGCCATGTAGCAGCTAGACGCTCGCAGCGGATTTGAAGATCGTGGGTTCAGGTACGAAGCTGGACAGCCTTTACTCCCAGGTTAACGCAGCCTCAAATGGGTACCAGGTAAAGTCCTGAAAAGTACAGGCGACTGGCCTGATGTTGACGGCACTCGGTCTATAAAAGATGTCTAACCTTTATGGCCTCAAAAGTTCCCCATCCTTTTTTATTTCTGTTTGGAATATATTATCGCGACAGTTTGGAAAACTCTGGTCCTAGAGATTACATCAAAAGGGACACAACCGATGAATGTTTTAGTGAGCTTGATGTAGAAAGGAATACTGTACCCTTTGTAAAACCAGTCGCTGAAGTACTGTTAGTAAACGCTTGCCTAACAGCCCGAATGTGTTGGGTTTGATTATGCACTGGGACGGTTTTTTATATTTGCTTCAGAGCTCCCATTTGACCCACTTTAATATGGGTTATCTGAAAATGTCACAGGAAATGAAAGTAGCTGACATATGTAGTTTTTACTAAGAGCACAAGATATTGGTTTAATACAGAACAGGCGTAATTTGTGAGTTTCCTCTGGTCACGTCTATCCACAACCTTCTTTCTTGTATACTTTCACTCAGTTCTGATCTTCCATGCCATGATGCCTGACTATCCAGCATCTTCTCTCTAGGTCTCCCTTCTACCTCTTGTCTTCGAGCTTTCCCACCGTCAGGATGTACTCCAGTTTTCTCCTTTTCATGACGTGACCAGAGAATGTCGCTTGTCTCCTTCAGATGTGGACAGTCAGTTCTCTTTGTGAGTTTCTTTCAAGACGTCTTCATTACTCTTTTTATCTGTTGTAAGGCCCGGCTCTCTAGCGTAGTTGGCTAAACCGGATTGCGCGGAGACCGGGTGACGAACTCCTTGTGGTCCGGGTTCACTCCCGGGGGTAGGCAGAAAAGCCACATTTCTCCCAGATTTACGGTATTTACAGTGGAATCAAGGCCTAAAGGTTGTGATATCCATAATACCGAGCCTAAGGGTTAATAACTCATGGTTTCTGGATACTAAAACAAACAAACATCTGTTGTAAGAGAGCTGGGTTGTAATATATAGTTGGATCACTTTCAACATGGCTCATTTACTCTGGAACAAGTACAGCTTCCTACAATTGACAACATTAAAACGCCGCTCAGATTCCAATAGACATTTTGCCAGTTTATTTCTGTTATTCCATCACATGTACTCAATAGCAGTCATCGCTGTTCACTTCCACAAATATGACACAATAACTATTTACTCAACGTCGACTACACTTAAATAAAACAACAGCGTAGCGGCGCGGGGGATACACTCGGCGATGAGCTTAATCGCGTTTGGCGCATGCCGACAAGTCTGACATCTACCGCTGCTAAATCCTCCCATCGGAAGAACACAGTATTGCTAATCGGCTTTCATCGTCTGTAATGTCTCGAAATTGGTCAACGGTCGCTAATATCGTCTGCTAGTATCGTTGTTTGCAGAAACGCTCGAAATTGCAACGGTCGGTATTTATCGTCTGCTACTCTACCGTGTGCAATGTTGATATTTGATTGTCAAGTAATCCTAGTTTTGCCGCGATTTGTCTCTTGGCAGAAAGTCCGTATTTTAGATACGCCTGAACACCGTTCGGATATTTTTGGATATTTTATGGCCAGAATGTGGCATCATATCACGGCCGCCATTTTAGGGCGCCGTTCAAAGTAGAGCTGAGAGTTATATGTCTCTGATGTGGTATCTATATTTTACTTGTATCTTTTTTCTCTTCCCTGTTTGATGACTTCACAGTTCATTCTAACTTTTCATAAACCCCTATGTGAAGATTAAGCCAAAATTGATCAAGCCCAGTTTAGTGAATTCAGTTATTTTGCCTTTAAGTCTTTAAAATTATGGGTTTCAGCATAATATTGTTTAAAATAGGTACCAGGTAATGGCCTGGGAAGTAAAGGTGACTAGCCTGATATAGAGACTGTATCACCTATCTAGTGGTTTATAAAAACTTGGGTCTAGCACCATATATCCAGTGAGCCAATAGCGTAAAAAAAAGGTCTTGACTTACTTACATACTTACTGTGTATACCATATTTACTGTACACACTTACTTACTGTGTTTTTTCACATCCTGTGTCACACAAGGGGAGTCCCCATGATATAGCGGCTAGACGCTTGCCTGAGGATCTGAAGTTCATGAGTTCAGGTCCTGATGGAATCAGACTTTTCCCCATCTGCAATGACCTTGGCTCCCAGGTCAACCCAGTCTTGAGTTGGGGTCAGGTACCGTCCTGGAAAGTAATACCATGAGCTTTAAAAATAGATATCCAAAGTGAATTAAAAAAAAAAAAAAAAAGAAGCCATGGTGGGAAATCTTCAGTTACACATAAAGTGGTAATATAGACAGTGGTAGTGAAAAACCAGATTTCTTTAGTATGTTCTGACCAAATATTTTAAAAACTAAGAGAGAGAACGTTATGCTGTGGAATGATTTCAAGGGGTAAAGTCATTTGCACACTAGGTGTTGTTTGTGACTGAAAGAGTTAATGTTTCCATAATCTGGCTTTTGTTTCAGAACCACACTCTGGCTTTCGCATTGCCTTCAACATGTTTGATTTAGATGGCAATCAGATTGTTGACAAAGAAGAGTTTTTAGTGGTAAGTGTTGAGTTCTTGATCTCTCAGAATATTTCTTTCCATCTCCACTTTTGTTTTTTATTTGTTATTAACAGTGTCCTTTAGATAGTATCACTGTAATGTTGTTGTTTTTTAAATTTTAAATCATTTTGTGTTTGCCGGGGTAAATTGTAAATCACTGAATGTGCACTTTGTCTTTATGTGTCATACTAGAGATTTATATCGGAGTGATTGTGTATGCAGTTACAGTGAAGGTTCATGTAGCATCATTGGATGCACTTTAAAGCAAAGTAAAGGACCCTTTTCCATGCCTTCAGGTGTGTTGGGCGTATAGGGCTAGACCCATATGTTTTAGACCAGTGGGTGATGGGGTCAACATCACGCCGGCCACCTTTACTTCCCAGGACTTCACCTGGTGCTTATTTAAGGCTGGGTCTACGTGGAAGCCAAGCTCATTTTTGAAGTTAAAAAAAAAAAAAAGGCTAGCTCCGTTCACACATAAACTTCCAATCTTAACATCCACAAGCAGATGTCTAGCCATTACACAATGGTGGCTCCCTGTGGCACTTTAAGCTAATCTAAAATGACTCAATCTTGTTTTGTAGGGTTTCAGTGCAGGTTGATGTATAATCCGTGGGGCACTTTAAACTAATCTAAAATGACTCAATCTTGTTTTGTAGGGTTTCAGTGCAGGTTGATGTATCATCCGTGGGGCACTTTAAGCAAACTTTAAGATGCCCAGTCTCACTCTGCAGAGTTTGCTTCCCTGTATGGGTTCCGGGGCCCCATTGTGGGGAAACAGTAATATACCCACTGCCTACCCAAAAGCTTGTAGTAAGAGTCTACTGATTTGGAGCTTCCTTCAAATCTGTCTGAGAGGTGAGGAACCAGTAGTCTCCCTACACTTGTGTCAGGTCTGTAAAACGGATGTGCATGCAACACTGAAGTTGTGGAACAGGAGCAAGGTCCAGAAGTGAACGAACACCTAGAACTTTCTGCTGTAGTTCACAGCTGGTGAACAAGAAGACTCTGTAGAGTTTGAGGATTTGAAAAACAGTCAATTTGTAATTAAAAATAAGCACTTGAGAAAAGCAGACATTTAAAGTTCAGTTCGGAACTGACATCACACCACTCAGGACATTCCCATAAGTGCTCCGTCCCTATATTTCAGCAACTAGAGTTCCAGTTCTGATGGTACCAGTAGCGTTAGATATCAAGAATAGTTCAAATCAAGAATATCAAGATACACAGCTAATCCCTCCGACTTTCTCCTCTCTTGATATTAATGTATTTAAAAAATTACCATCAAAACATTTACATATACACGAGCTGAGGTACACTAGTATGCACAAAGACACTTGAACCTAAGTCCACAGTTTATCCAACTATGTTATACTAACATGAACAAGATTTTATTGAATAAATCTAACCAAAAATAAATGTATAGTATTGTTCTCGCAGTCATGAAGGATATCAGCTCAGTGATGATACTGAGTCAGTCAATGAGTTCAGTACATGCATATGCTAGTAGAGTGAGGATGGTGTTACGATAGTGATAATTCATTTGAACATAACTTGTAAACCCAGAACGCTCTCAGGATGAGACTGCCACTTTTCCAAGTCTGTCATCCTAACTGTTTCAAGCAGTTCATACATTTGGACCATCTGCTATTGATACGTGCTGACTGGTCCTTGCCCTGATGGTAACTGCAATAAAACAAACAAACACATGTGTCTAGTTTCTAGATTACACACATTACGCATATTCAGATAAAAAACATATTTTACCCTTCCTCCTCATTTTCACATTCTCTTTAGTCTAGTCTGAAGGTCTTTTATCTCACATTGTAGTTGGTACATTTCCTGCCTTCACTTTCATGTCCTATCATGATAGTTACAGTCAGATTTCAAACTGGCTGATATGGTTTGACATTGACATGTGGTGACAGGTTATGTGCTAAAAACCCAAAACATTATTTACATTTCTTTTTTATATTTTGTCACATTGTATTGTTTATATTTCTTGTTTATATTTTGTTACATTGTAGGGTTTATATTTCTTGTTTATATTTTGTTACATTGTAGGGTTTATATTTCTTGTTTATATTTTGTCACATTGTAAGGTTTATGTTTATTGTTTATATTTTGTCACATATTGAGGTTTACATTTTTTCAGATTGTAAGGTTTATATTTATTGTTATACTTTGTCACATTTGTATGTTTTCTTGTTTGTATTGTGTCACAATTAAAAGGTTTATATAATTAGTCAACTTTTACGACCCACTTGTCAGGGAGCAGTTGATCCGTCTCTCTCCCCCCCCCCCCCCTAACAAAAAGAGGCCTTAGAACCCATGCTGGGGAAAAATTATTTTATGACACATCATTTTTTAGGCTGAGTTGACCTCAGGGTCATACTAGGTTGCAAAAAAAAAAAAAATGCCTGAAGATTAAAAAATAGACCAGTGTGTGACATTATATTAAAGAGCCCTGTCACTTAGACATAATGGAAGCAGAGCCGGATATTGACCATGCATGTGCTATATATAGATGGAGTAGATGAGGCCTTAAATACCCTCACCTACATAACAATTACCAAGGCTCTTACCTGATCTTTCTTCTTCAGCCTTCCGAGCCCTTGAGGTTCATCTCTCCGGTTGGCCTTCTCTTTCCAGTTGGTAACACCAAGTGTTTGCAGGTCTGTCTGGATATTATTTCTCCATCGTCTTCTTGGTCTCCCCCGTGGTCTATGACAAATTATCTCCCAGGTGTATGCAGTTTTTACTTCTCTGTCATCTGACATTCTTTCAATATGTCCCAACCATTTCAGTCCATTAGCTCTCATGATGCCAGTGATCAGTGTTGATTTAAACAGATTATGAATTTTTTTTTCGAAAACCTGTAATAAGGCTTCATCTCTTTTAGTTGTGCTCCAAGTTTCAGAGCTATATAACACGACTGGTTTTATCAACGTTTTATATATTTTGATCTTGGTGTTGCGAGGTAGACACTTTGACTTTAGCAGATGTTGAAGTGCATAGCATAATTTATTACCAGATTGTATTCTAGATTGTATTTCTTCTCTCAGCATGTTGGAGCAGTTGAAGTTTGCACCCAAGTACTTATATGTTTCCGTTCGTTTGATTTTCATATTATTGACTTGTATGTGGCCAGAGTTTATATCCTTTCCCTGCCTAGTTATTATCATATATTCTGTCTTATATTTATTGATAACTAGTCCCATTTTCTGAGCTGATTCTTTAAAGACATTCAGTGTTTTAACAGTCTCTAGTTCATTTTCTCCAACGATCTTACCTGATGCCTTTTCAAAATCCTACGCTGAAAATCAGAACAGGACTAGAGAAGTAGAAGAAGAAAAGGTTGAGTGACTAGTTTTCTTCCTAACACGTTTATTTAGTTTTGAGGTTTTGAACAAGGGATCAACATCATGGCACACAGGTGTAACCCTTAAGTGCTACGTTCTTCTATTAACTCAAGCCTGAGTCCGAAGAAGCTCAGCACAGTGCACAGGCTCTGTAGCACCGGCGAGGATCCTGAAATACTTTGAGTAGACTTTTAACTCTAAATTTTGCCCGGGCGGTGTTGTTAGGCCACTCTTTTTGATTTCCAACTGCCAAGGGATTTTTTTATACGTCAGCAACAATGCACACGGGCGTCCGATCCCACTACCCAGAGACCAGGGTTAATTACTAGAAGTCCAAGTCTATATGAAAAAATCCCAGCCCTTACCGGGGATTGAACCCAGACCCTCTAGCACTCGAGATGGACACCATGCCTCGAGACCACACAGCTCCCTACATGTTTCTTTTTTTAACCCTAAATGGCCAGGTAGCCATCTTTAGGGCTCGAAGTCATAGCTTATCATATCCTGATTTTTATAAAACTCACTACAGACACACAAGTTAAACCCCTATTTTTGTTAGAGAACTTTGTTTATACACAACAGTTTGTCTGTGTTTTCTGTTGTTAATACTTGTTAGTAAACTTTGTTGCCAGCATGCTTCTAAATTATTTTTTTTTTTTAGTATAAGTTTTTGTGGACATTAAACCTATCTTTTCGGTGTTTGTATTGATTATTTTGTTTGTGAGATTCATATATTTCATCGGTACCTTGTGAGTGTATTTCTTTCTGACTGCCAATTCTTAACAACTAACATGTGGTATTTATTTTCTAAAGACATTTCTTAGCATTTTCACAAACCTACTTTTGACTTTTTTTTTTTTTAAAAACATTTTTTTTTAAATTATAGAATATAACAGCATGTTTTCTTTGAAGCTGATTAATACTTACAATTTATTTGGTTCACACGAGGCCTGCATATGTGACACTTATATGTAATAATCATTATAGTCAGTGGGTGTACACACACACATAAACAAACAGAAAACACACAGAGGTAAACCTTATTAACCTGGGACTAATAATAATAATAATACATTATTTATATTAAACAGACAGGCATGTATTAATGGGCACCCATTGAAAGAAGTGGAAATATAAAATGACACCTCATTGCTGGGACATAAATGTTGTTCATGTTAACCAAGTGTTCTTTTTAAACAATTTTGTGTAATGGAAATGTTACTGTTTTGTGTGTATGTGCGTGCATGGATTACCATAATGGAGGTGTTATGCAGGAATCTGAAAGTTGCACTGGAATCTGTGAATTACCAGAATGGATGTGATGTGCTGGAATAATTATTATATACTGGAATCTGTGAATAACCAGAATGGATGAGATGTGCTGGAATTATTATTATATACTGGAATCTGGAAATTACCAGAATGATGTGATGTGCTGGAATTATTATTATATACTGGAATCTGTGAATTACCAGAATGGATGTGATGTGCTGGAATCTAAAATTTGTATTAGAATCTGTGAATTACCAGAATGGATGTGATGTGCTGGAATTATTATTATATACTGGAATCTGTGAATTACCAGAATGGATGTGATGTGCTGGAATTATTATTATATACTGGAATCTGTGAATAACC